ATGTGTCTTCCAGTACCTGGCCGAGCACGTGGACGCTCCTCAGCTGGCCTCCAGCTTCGAGGCCACCATCAATAAGTTTGATAAGAACTTCTCAGCCTACCTGCTCGACCTTCTGGCCCGACTGAGCATCTACAGCACCAGCGACTGCGAGCAGGGCATGGCCAGCGTCATCTCCAGGTGGGTGGGCAGCTCTCCACCCACGCCACTGCCCGTCATGGTCCCCACCCCGCTCACTGCAGGCCCGGGCCTCCCTCGCTCTCCCGCCCCTCTGCTCTCTCACCTCCACCCCTGTCTTCCCCACAGGCTCGACTTCAATGGCTTCTACACGGAGCGCCTGGAGCGCCTGTCTGCAGAGCGGAGCCAGACGGCAACCCCTCAAGTAGCCATTCCACGCGGCCCCCCCGCACCAGCACCCAGGGTGGCCGTGGCCGCACAGTGAGGCCCTCAGGGCCCTACCCCCTCCCCAACTGAAGGAAGGACGTAGGTGCTGGCAGTGCTACGGAGGAATACATTCAGGGTTTTTAGTCAGATATTCCCGAAACACGTGTGTTGTGTGTTGTCAGCATTTAAACATGAAGCCTGGGTGTTGTCTGCGCTCAGCTCATCCCGGCTCCCAGGGCCGTGTTTCGCTTTGGACCTGCGCCCAGACCAGAGCAGTGTCTGTGACCTTGCTGCTCTGCTCTCTTAAACAGAGCAGCTTCCCTCTCTGTGATTTTTTTTCTTTGGTCTCAAATAAAGACAAAGTGAAAGAAAACATGTGGCATTTGAGCAACATCAAAATAATTGTTTAGGTGCTGTGCAGGGGACGAGGTCTGGGCCTGGTGTCACGTGTCCACACCTGGTCCAGGTGAACGGGGCTGGACTCCCTGAAGTCAGCAGGAGTCCCTCCGACCATGGGCTGGGTTTTCTCTGGGCGCTAGGGGGCAGCACAGCCCCTGGTCCTGCAGCCTGGCCGGGGCTGGAGAGCTTGCGTCATGAGGCCCAGCCTTGTCCTACAGGAGCAGAGGTGGCGGGCCACGCCCCGCCCCTCAGGCCTGTGGTTTGCCCCCTTGGCGGTCACCTGCCCTCCTTGTGCCCACCTTCCTGACTCAGCAGCGGGTAGCACAGCCAGCCCTGGGTGTGCTGCCTCAAATACCTCCGTGCCCCTGCACGGTTCTCTCCACCAAGCTTCCCTTCCTGCCAGTTTTCATGTGTGTCACTTTCGAACTTCTGACCACTTGCTCCAGAGGCCTCCTTGGCGGGCAAGAAGCAATGAGAACTTGGCTGCACAGACAGGTCCCCCCCGTGGGTGTCAGCGTGCACGGGAGCACCGCGGAGCTGGGGGCGCGACTCTCAAGCTGCAGACGGCTTCCTCTTCTGATGTGCAGCGTGTGCAGACAGGACTGTGAGCAAGCAAGCATGCTTATCTGCCAGCCAGAGTTGCCACAGAGTCACGGCATTGTGCAAGCAGCAGACTGAGCAGAGGAGCCTGCTGGCCCTGAGGCCCAGATCCCTGTGTCCCTGTCATGGGCTCTGGGCAGCATACCTTCCCACTACACCAGGTTGCAGGTGGTGACGGCAGGAGGGGAATGTCCAGCACCTGCTGGTCGCTGGTGGGATGACTTAGGTGGGTCATGTGGGCCGGGAGGGGTTCCTGCGTCCTGGGCAGGGCTCTGCGGGCTGCGCTCTCCTGGCTGCTAATGCTGAGTCCCTCTTAGTTGGCTGCGCCCAGGCGGTCTCGTCAGCTCATGCGAAGCCTGTACATTCACAGCGGCTTTTGTTGTTGCCTCTATAGGACATGTTGCCTTTGAACTTTTGCTTCAAATAACTTGGAACATATAATTGGGGAAGAGAAGCAAAGTTGCCAGGAGGGTTTGGGATTCACGTAGCATCATTTTATAAGATCACGTATAAGCTCGGAGACAGAAGCCTTAGCGGCCCCAGCACCAACTCTCCTGTCACCTCTGCTGGAGAACCCCAGAGTCCGGTTAGCCCCTCTTGGGTTTTTCGTTTTATCCATTCACTTGGGGAAAGTTATGGTCCATTGAACTTTGACCTCTGGTCTGGAACTGCCTCTGGGTACCACACTCTCTCACCTGAGATCTTGACGTGTTCTCATGTCCGGCTCTCCCAGGAAGTGTGTCCAGAACTATGAAGGGCAAACCCGCTTGGTTCAGCCACAGGAGGCATGGTTTCCCCGGTGACAGGGACCCACCAGGAGAGGCCTGGGTGTCAGGCCAGTGTGGGGATGGTCCCACCCCGCAGGGCAGGGTGAGGTACCAGTGGGCAGGCACAGTCCCACCTGAAGCCCCCAGGCAGCCTTTCAGAGTCACTTCCCCTCCAAGGCCCCAGGCCCACCACCTCCCGCCAGCAGGACCCGGGAGCCTGGTCTCCTAACCTGCACAGACAGGATGCACGGTTGTAGGGAGGGGCCCGGTCAGTCTGTTCACCTCCTCCCTAGGTTAATTGGTCCACAGTTATGAAGACTTTTCCATGTGCTGGACCCTAGACTGTCCAGGAGCCTATAGGGAACCAGAGATAGACAGAGGAACACCTTTGAGCCACAGGAGGGAGGACGCTCCCCCAGGTGCCTGCAGACCCCGCCCCAGCCCCGCCCCCCCGGTGTCGGATTGGCGGTGGCTGGGGGTTGGTGGCTGGGGCGGGGCTCCAGGGTTGAGCCTCCCAGCAGAGCGCAGGGACCACACCGTGTCCCAGAGCGCACAGAGCCACCTCTCGCTCCCGTTCCCATTCCTGCTCCGGTCCCCAGACCCCGGCCCCGGACGACCGACCCCTGTCCACATCCCCTGGCCATGTGTGGCCTTGGGCCCTGGCTGCTGGGCACGCTGTGGCTGCAGGGTGAGTGCTGGGTGTGGCTCTGGCCCAGGTCTGAGGGGCTGCAGTCTGGGTGTTGGGTGGCCACCTGGCCTTCTGCAGCCCCGCCTGCTCTGGGCTGGTCTCTGGGGGTCGAGGGCGCAGAGGTGGTTATAGCGAGGAGGCCCCAGTGGTGGACTGAAAGAACCTTCGAACGGGAACTGAGAGGAAGAGCGCTGCGGGGGGTGTTTCCTGAGCTTGTGTGGGGACTAGGGCTGGGGCCGAGTAGAGTGGAGGGCCAGCCAGCGGCTCCAGTCTGCCCCGGGGCCCTGGGGTGATTGCCCATACTACGAGTGCCACCAGCTGGGCAGGGACGGGCGAACCCAGCAGCAGTGGTCTGGAGATGAGGGTGGAGGGCGCCTCAGGCGGTGGTGTAACCTCTGGCCTGGGGAGGATGAGTGTCCTGCTGGTCCTGGCCCCACCCCGGCTCCTCAGAACCTCCTGGGCTGGAGGTGGCCAAGGGAGCAGCTGAGGAGGGGGCCATTTCCCGGGCAGGCGGGGCTGGGCTGGCCCTGGCCCAGCGCTCATTCCTGGGGGTTGGTGACAGAGACACGTTCACTAACATCTGAAAAGAGGGAGAGAAGAGTCCCCAGGAGTCTCTCCAGCGCTGGCCTCCGCTGTCTGTGGTGGGATGGGAGGGGTTTCTAATCTGGGCTGGGTGCACCACCTGTCAGACGCCATCGTGTGATCAGTTGAGATGAAAAGGCGTAAACTCTCCCCAATGCCTGTGTCTCCTCGGGTCTGGGGAGGGACATCCGGCTCAGCCCTTGGCTCTGGGGGGAGCCGTCTGGGGGCAGCTGGGCAGCTCCTGGAAGGGCTGGCGTGCGGGGCAGGATCTCTGAGCGCTACAGGGGCACAGGTCTACCTGGCCCACCCAGGGCAAAGGTTCTGTGGCCTTTTTAAGTCCACCTGGGCCCGGGAGCCGGCTCTCAGGATCTCTCTGGTCCCCGAGTGTGCTGTCTGCAATTCCCCTAGATGAGGCAGGGCTGGCCCACAACGGGCCTGGGACAGGGACTCCCCTGGAGGGTGCCCTGCGCACCTGCTGACCCTCTCTCTCCCGCAGCGTTCGCCCCCAGCGCCCCCCTGCCCCATGTGGAACAGTACGAGGTGGTGTGGCCGCGGCGCCTGCCAGGACCCCGCGCCCGCCGAGCCCTGTCCTCCCACTTGGTAAGTCAGTGGGGGGGTGCCTGGCATGGGGTCCCTAACTGGCTCCCAGAGCTGGTTTCCGTCTGTGAAAGGGATGGTAGTTCCCCGTGTGCCCGGCAGTTGTGAGGGGCCAGCCTTCCAGACTGAGGGCCGGGTGGGCTTCTGGGCTGTGTGCCCCGGAGGGGGGGGGGCTCCCAGTCCACTTGGGCTGTTTCTTCCCCCACCCCCGCCTCACCTTTGTCCTGTGTCCTGCTTCTCTCTGGCCAGGGCCACGCCCTAGAGGGCCGTCCGCAGAGGGTGGGCACTGGGGGCTAGCCGGGGCTGCCCAGACTTCCTTTCAGGAACCTGCCGCGGGCTACTCCCCGCCCACGGTCACTCCCCAGTTTCGCTAAATCAAATTCCTCTTAGCCGAGAGGGGATGGCTCACCCGGCGACACACCTCTGTGGAGCATTTGGGGCTGGGCTGGGTTTTCCCGGAGCTGCCTGGGGGCATTCCTGAGACCCACATGGGGGCGTTGGAAGGGTGTGCACCTGTGTGAGGAGAAGATGTGCCTGCGGGGGGCGCGGGGGGCAGCCCTGACCTGACCTGGGGTAGGTGTGGGGGGGGCGGGGGGGGAAGGGCTGTCTGCCGCCCTGGCCTTCACCCACCCTCTGGGCATAGCACATACTTGTCCCGAGGGGCCAGCAGGCCTGAGTGAGGGCTCTGTGGGCTGGGGGCTAGCTAGGGGCGCTTCCCGCTCAATCTCACACGCCCACCCCACCCCAGTGGAGCCCAGGGCCTGGAGGGATGGGCCTCTGGGTGGGGGAAGGTGCTGGTGCTGGAGGGGCTGGACTATCTGCTCTACTGCCTTGGTTTTAAGATTTCATTTTTCCTTTTTCTCCCCAAAGCCCCCCCGGTACATAGTTGTGTATTTTTAGTTGTGAGTCCTTCTAGTTGTGCTATGTGGGATGCCGCCTCAGCATGGCTTGATGAGTGGTGCTATGTCTGCGCTCAGGATCTGAACCGGCGAAACCCTGGGCCTCCATGGCGAAGCACGAGAACTGAACCACTCGGCCACGGGGCCAGACCCTGCTGCCTTGGTTTTAAGGGCTGCCTGTCAGGGGCCACGTCCCTCTCCTTGCTTCCTGGGGAAGGGACATCATCATTATCCTTGGATAGACAGGATGGGGAAACTGAGGCCTGAGGAGCCCAGTGTGGTTCTAGGTAGAGCTTCCGCCTGCCCAGGATCCCCTCCAGCCCAGCCTAGCCCTGCCCGGCCCCAGGGTCCTCTGAGAGGCTTTCGGTCCTGGGGTGCCCAGCTCCCCTCCGACCCCAGGTTTGAGGTGGGCATGGTCTGGGGCCGGCCCCCTCACCCTGGATCCTCCCTTTCCCTGGCTCAGGGCCTGTACCCAGAGAGTGTGAGCTATGTCCTTGGGGCCCAAGAGCACACCTTCACCCTGCACCTGCGGAAGAACAGGTGAGCAGGGGGCCCAGGCCCCACCCCACCTGTGTCCTTGCCTCAGGCTCCCTGGCCAGCCTCTCCTCCGGCTAGAGGCAGCTTCTGGGGGGAGCAGGCAGGCCCCAGATGCCACAATGGATCTCTTCCAGGGACCTGGTGGGCTCAGGCTACACGGAGACCTACACGGCCGCCAATGGCTCCCAGGTGACGGAGCAGCTGCAGAGGCAGGTATGGTCCTGGGGGCCCTCCCGATGGCCGCAGTAGGGGGCCCTGGGAGCAGGGCCTGTGAACTCTGATGTCCTCCTCCCGCAGGATCACTGCTTCTACCAGGGCCACGTGGAGGGGCACCAGCACTCGGCAGCCAGCCTTAGCACCTGTGCTGGCCTCAGGTGAGTGCCACAGGCCTGGCTGGGCATGTCAGAATGTCAGGGCCATGGCGCTCCCCTCACTGTCAGAGAAGTAAACTGAGGCAAGAACCGGGCTGGACGTGGGCACACTTTTCTGCACTTGTAGAAGTTACAGGTTCCCCGAGCGTGAGGCTCCCACAGGCCCCTGGACAGTGTCCCCAGAACGTCTCAGTGCAGAGTGGGAGCCATGCCCTCGGTCACCTGAGGGCCTGCTGTCCTTCAGGGCTCCTGTTCCCCCAAGATGGACAGGCAGGGGGATGCACTAATTTGGAGCTGCCTGCTCCCCTCTGCTCTCAGGGGCTTCTTCCGGGCTGGCTCCACTGTCCACCTGATCGAGCCCCTGGATGGGAGCAGTGAAGAGGGGCAGCACGCGCTGTACCAGGCACAGCACCTGCAGCAGAAGGCCGGGACCTGCGGGGTCAGCAACGCCAGCCTGGAGAACATCTTGGGACCTCGGGTCTTGGCAGCCTTCAGGCCCCGGGTGAGGAGGCCCCGGCCAGCCTCATCCCCTGTCCACTTGGGCCTGTGCACCCCCAGACGCCCCACGCACTCAGCGCAGTGAGGGTGCCACCTGCTGTGCCTGTAGTAAGTGGGCTGGTGTCTCCAAGCTGCCCCCTGAGTTGGTGGGCCCGGACCTGGCTTTGCCCGGCTGCTGCAGAGGCAGCGCCTTCGTTTGCATGGGAGCCTCCTGGATGGCCCCCTACACTGAGTGGGATTGGGCGCCAGCTCCAGAGCCCGGGAGGTGGTCAGCGTGTGGCAACTCGGCTGGGGCCAGGAGGGCTGTGGCTGGGTTGGCTGACTCGTTCTCGTCGCCGCTCCCCAGGATTGGCTGCCATACCGAGATACCCGCTACGTGGAGCTGTTTGTGGTCGTAGACAAAACAGAGGTACCTTGGGGTGGAGCGGGGCGGGGTGGGGTGGGGCAGGGGCACCTGCCAGACGCTGCAGCCTGAGGACCTGCTGTCCTACAGTTCCAGCAGGTGGGCAGCCGAGAGGCTGTGCGGACGAGGGTGCTGGAGGTGGTGAACCACGTGGACAAGGTGGGGTTCTGTCCACCCTGAGGGGGCATCCCCTCCCGTGGCTGCCAGGAGTTCCTCCCAAGACCCCTGGGCAGCACAGGTCCCTTCTGGACCGGGCATCACCCAGCCCGTAAGAAACCCTGGTTGTGGAGGTGGGGGGGGTGCCTGGAGAGTAGGAGATGGGTGACTGTGTGGGGGGCCAGCAGGTGGAACTGTCAGCCAGGGGAGGAGGGAGCTGGGATCTGTCCCAGCCTCCTGCCTGCGTCCCACTCACAGCCGACACTGCCTCTGCGGGCCCCAGGCCCAGCTTGCTCTGGGGTGGTCTCAGCCTCTTACCCGGCCTCACTGTCCTGGAGCCTGACCCAGGGGACTCCATCCTCTCGCAGCTTTATCAGGCACTGAATTTCCGCGTGGTCCTGGTGGGCCTGGAGATCTGGAATGACGGGGATAAGATCAAAGTCAGCCCGCAGGCTGACACCACACTGGACAACTTCTTGGTCTGGCGGGCACAGGACCTGGTGAGACGACAGGTGCACGACAATGCGCAGCTCATCACGTGAGAGGCGGGGTGCCATCGCAGGGCACGTGGGTGGAGGGTCCCCTGGGGGAGGGCTTTGCGGGGACCAGGAGGGGCACTCAGGAGGTGTCCAGGTGCTGACACTGCTCTTGTTCCCAGTGGGGTCGACTTCACCGGGAGCACCGTGGGACTGGCCAGGGTGTCCACCATGTGCTCACAGGACTCGGGGGCTGTGAACCAGGTGTGGAGGGAACCCTGCCCAGGCTTGTGGGCTGCCGGGAGGGGAGCAGGCTGGGAGCTTGAGCTGAAACTCGTGAGGGGTGACCTCAGGGCTCAGCCCCACCTGCTTGACTCCAAGCTGTCTCCATGAGCACCCAGACGGCTGCCTCTTCCGGAGGATTCATCAATGCTTTTAGGTTGTAAGACATGTTGTTGGCAGGAAGTGACACCAAACCCCTCAGCCTTGTTTGGGGCAGTGTGGCTGGCAGGAAGGTGGATGGGCTGGGTGGGCGGCGCCAGCCAATGCAACCTCTTCCCACAGGACAACAGCAAGAACCCCATCAGCGTGGCGAGCATCATGGCCCACGAGATGGGCCACAACCTGGGCATGGACCATGACGAGAACGTGATGGGCTGCTACTGCCCCATGCCGCAGGACAGCGGTGGCTGTGTCATGGCGGCCAGGATCGGGTGAGACTCGCCTGGATCCACCCTGGCTGAGGGCCAGCTGCACAATGGAGTTCCTGGGGATGTAGGCGGCCTGCCCTCTGCTACCCTCCCCTGATGGGGATCCTCTTCCCTCAGTGTCAAGTTCCCCAGAATGTTCAGCCACTGTAGCCGGGCCAACCTGGAGATGTTCATGGAAAAGCCCCTGACAAACTGCGTGGTGAACGCCCCAGACCCTGACCGGCTGGTGGGCGGCCCTGTGTGTGGGAACGGGTTTGTGGAGCGCGGGGAGCAGTGCGACTGCGGGCCCCCCGAGGTACAGTGTCGCATGCCTGCCACTACGCTCTGTTCCCCACCAGGTGCCCCGCCCACATGCCCGTGGCCACACGTCAGAATACTCCTGTTCTCCTGTGACACCCACAGCTGCCCGTAGGGGACCCCATGGGAGGGAGCAGCTGTGGCCTCCCCATGGAGGCCTGGCCGGGTGGGCTGTGGAGGGAGGTAGGGTCCCCGGGTCTGCTCTGGGGCCTGGTGCTGCCCTGTGTGCAGCCCACTGCGACCTGTGCTGAACCCCTGCCCCCAGGACTGTCGGAACCAATGCTGCAATGCCACCACCTGCCGGCTGGCTGAGGGGGCTGAGTGTGCCCATGGTGGCTGCTGCCACGGGTGCAGGGTGAGTGCGGGGCCCCACCTCAGCTGTGCCCCGAGGGTGGCGCAGGGGGAGGAAGGTCCCAAGGACGCTGGTGACAAAGCAGTGGGCGAGGGTCTGTTTGGGTGCCCACTGGTCCCATGGTGAGCTTCGCTCCACTGGGCCAGGTGAAGCTGGCCGGTGAGGTGTGTCGCCCCCAGAAGGATGGCTGTGACCTTGAGGAGTACTGCGATGGCCAGCAGCCAGTGTGCCCGGAGGATGCCTTCCAGGAGAACGGCACGCCCTGCCCAGAGGGCTACTGCTATGATGGGAACTGCCCCACGCCAGCCCAGAGGTGCCGGGACTTGTGGGGGCCAGGTGAGGCAGGTGTGAGTCCTGGCCGTGTGACCCACAGGCCTTCTGGGGTGGTTGCCCGTCCAGGCCTGTGGACTCACCTGCTCCTGGCCCTGCAGGGTCGTGGGCTGCCGCGGAGTTGTGCTACGCCCACAGCATCTCCCCAGGCTGCAAGAGCACTGTGCCCCTCGGCTCCAGCAGGTGAGCGTCTGGCTGTGGCCCGACTCCCCCATGTCCAGGCACAGGACGGGGCCGCCCACAAGGGTCCTCTGACAAAGGAGTCCAGGGGCTCGGTCCACCCTGCCTTCCAGGCCCCAGGCCTGAGCGTACTGCCCTCATGGGAGGGACAGTGGGTTACTGTGGCTTGGGGGCGTGGATGTCCATCTGCAGGTCCTAGGGGTGTGGAAGCACTGTCAGCGGACCCCACAGCCTGTCCAAGGTCCTAGGCCTCATCTCCTGCATTCCACGGGTCCCCCAAGTGTGGTCAGCAGGAGCCCCAGCAGAGCTGGCACCACACATGTCCCTCTGCCTGCAGGGTCAACAAGTGTGGCACCCTATACTGTCAGGGCGGGCAGAAGCCCCCAGAGCGGACTTCCTGCACCTTCGTCTACCACTCGTCCACTTGCCAGGCTCTTGGGCTGGATGGCGGCATGGGGTACGAGCAGGTGCCCGAGGGCACCCAGTGTGGCGAGGGGAAGGTGAGTATCAGGGCCTCCAGTGGGCGCGTGGCCGGCTGTGGCTTTCAGGGGCTCCCCAGGGCTGTGACCCAGATGTGAGCCCGACGTGCCCCAGGCAGCCGTCAGGCTGCTGGAGGCCCAGGTTCTGGACGCGTGTCCCACATGGGCGAGCTCACGTGGTCCCAGGCGGGCAGTGGCAGCTGGAAGAGGGCTGAGGGGAGGACTCCCCTGTGTTCTCAGTGGAAACTCAGAAGGTGGGCGCAAAGGGAGGCGCCGGAGAGGCCAGTCCTCAGTTAACGTGAAGACCTTAATGTTCTACAAGCCCCCCAGGGGCCAGATGGAGCCGGTCTCTGTGGCCCTGGTGCCAACAGTGGGTTGGCCAAGGCTGGCCAGCAGTTGGGCTGCAGACGAGGCCATCCTGGGTGTGGTGGCCATGGCCCACCCTCTTGAAGCTCACCCTACAGGTTTGGGGTCAGCTTCGGCTGGTGGGAGAGAGTGGGTGGGCATGGGCTTCAAGCAGGAGTCTAGAGTGGCTGCCTGAGGAGACCCCCACTGCTCTCCAGGTTTGCTGGAAAGGACACTGCCAGGACTTCCATGTTTACAGATCCAGAGACTGCTCTGCACGGTGCAGCGACCATGGGGTACGTGGGCCTATGGGACAGCCTGCCACTGGCGCTTTGGGGTTGGAGTCCAGTAGGCTGCATTTGGGACGAGCCCAGGTGGACAAAGGCAGAGGCCAGCACCCAGGAGCTGTGCCAGGAGCTACCAGGGCCTCTTGGGCCTGGAGCTGGCTAGGATCTGGGCATCCGTGGGGGCATTGAGGCCCAGGGCGGTCCTGGTACTGGTGGATGTGAGGGCTGGGGCTGGTCAGACTTGAAACGTTCTATTTGAGATGTGGGCAGTGTGTTCAGGTCTTAGTAACCTGTGCTGTGATGTTGGGAAAGTCAGAGCCACCAAGAGCTTGAAACAAGGGGCTGGAGCCCCCCATCTAAGGGAGGGGGCTGAGCTCGAGGACAGCCCACCGTGAAGCTGGCCTGTGCCTGCGCCATGCTTGCGTTGCTTGGAACGCCCTGTGGCATTTGGTACAGCCCTCCATAATCTGGTCAGCCTGTCGCATGCCCCCAGATGAGGGGCTGCTGCTGTCAGCACGCCTGCTGGGACCCATGCTGGGGGGTGGCAGCCCTGGGCAGTGGAGTAGGGCTCGAGGATGAACCCAACTGTCCTCCATTGTGAAGGTCATGGCAGAGCCCTTGCAGGCCTGAGGCCAGGCCTGGTGACTCGGAGGAGCAGATGGCGCCTAGGGGGTGCTGGGCGGCGCAGCAGACGGAGGGTCTGGAGGCCCAGCCTGACGCCTGCTTGCCCCCAGGTGTGCAACCACAAGCAGGAATGCCAGTGCCACCCGGGCTGGGCCCCGCCCTACTGCGCAGAGCGGCTGGCCAACACAGGTAGGGTCCAGACCACTCCAGGGGCCTCCCACCCGCACAGACTGATGGGGTCTGGCTGGGGCTCATGCCTTTTCTTGACCTCCTGGGCAGGGCTGAGAAGGAAGCTGTATGCCCCCAAACCAAGAAGGGCATTGTTTTTTTTTTTTTAAGATTTTATTTTTCCTTTTTCTCCCAAAGCCCCCTGGTACATAGTTGTGTATTTTTAGTTGTGGGTCCTTCTAGTTGTGGCATGTGGGATGCCGCCTCAGCATGGTTTGATGAGCGGTGCCATGTCCGCGCCCAGGCTTTGACCCGGTGAAACCCTGGGCCACCAAAGCTGAGTGCACAAACATAACCACTCTGCCACGGGGCCAGCCCCAGAGGGGCATTATTAAAATGCAAGTTTGCAGCCCCTTAGGCATTCTGACCCCACTGGTAGAGGGCAGGGCCCAGGAGCCAGTCTCCGCACTTCTGCCCTACCTGAGAAGGGAGACCATGCTAGACGGAGGGGCGGGGGAGCAGTGACAGGACAGCACTGGCTCTTTGGCCCGGTCCCCGGCCCTCTCCTGGGCCCGGGAACCTCAGAGCCACCCACCTCAGGTGTCTTCCTCCCTAGTGGCCGCTGAGCATGCGGCTGTTGACAGCACCACCAGCCTCCAGGGCGTGGCCGGGCCACACTGGCGTGATTGTGGGCCTGGGGCCACCTGCCACCAAGCCCTCTGACCTGTCACCTGAGAGCCCGGAGCACTGGTGTAAAGTACCAGGTCTCAGTGCCGAGGGTCCTGAGATGGCCATTGGCGGTAGGGAGGGGCCCAGGGCTCTATGTTCTCAGCACAGCAAATGGGGACCCCGAGAAAGGCACCCCACTCAGCCTCAGGTCAGCTGGGCAGGGGCTGCATCACCCAAGGGTTCTCCCAGCCCCACTACCTGGCACCGGGTCCAGCCCTTGACACCTGGCCTTGTGTGCCCCACAGCATCGTGGAGCCTCCTGATGGTGCTGGTGCCCGTGGTGCTCCTGGTGGCTCTGGGGCTCATCCTGGCATGTGTGGTCATCTACTGCAAGCACTGTAGGACTGCCCAATGGAGGTGAGAGCATGGAGGGGTTGCCAAATGCCCCTGTGCGCAAGGAGCACTTCCCCAGCTCACACTATTGGGAAACAACCTGCTGCTGTCTGAGGAAGAAGAACCAGCAGGTCCCACAGAAGGGGCATGGGGGCCTCGCTCTGAGCCCTGCCTCTTGCTGAGGCGGGAACAGGTGACAAGTTTGGTGACAGGTTGGGGATGTGGTAACCCCAGAGGGAGGGCCCCCACACAGACCTGAGCCCAATCAGAGCCCACACACTTGGGATGACGTGGGCTTGAGGAAGCTGCCCCTATCACCAGATGCCCTCCACGGGCAGCTGCATTCTGACCCTACTGTGGCTGCTTGCTCTGTGGGCCCTCGACACCTGGGCCAGCCACAGCAGGACTCACTTGCCAGCGGCCTCTGGGCAGCTCACCCTGGCCCAGCTGGACCCCAGAGCCAATGGGGTCCAGGACACACGAAGCTGCCTCTCCCTCTTAGTGTGGCTGTGGCTGGCACACAATGCAGGGGCCACTGTAGCTGAGAGGGACCCTGGCCAGGCCAGGGGACCCCATGCCCAGGAGCCCTCGAGTCCCTTGGCTGAACCCTGAGGCCAGGACGTGCTAATCTGTGTCACTTTCTCCCCAGGAACGTGGCGTCCAAGACCAACATGGGGCTCTCCAACCCCACGTTCCACGAGGGCAGCGGCACGCCAGCAAAGGGCAGGGCTCCGGCCTCTGCCACAGGCTCCCCAGAGGCAATTCCTACCACCGACCCCAACCAGCCCCCGAGTCCCAAGGCTTTCACAGTGACCCCAAAGCAGCCGCCCGCTGCTGTAAGCGCCAGCCGTCCCTGATGGGCTCCCTGGGCCAACCCCAAATCTCATGCTAGGTGCGACACCTGGGGACTCAGGGCAGCTGCCACCAGCACCCTGTTTAAAGGCAGAAATGAGGCTTTAGGATGGGGAGACTGAGGACTGCAGTGAGCCAGTGACAGAACTGGAGTCTGAACTTGAATCTGGGGCTCTTGGCCTCCGCAGCATCCCTCTGAGGACAGTTTTGAGGCCCAGACACCCTCCATTGCTGCCCAGCACCTCCGTGTGTCCACACAGCTGAGGGATGTGGGGATCACATCCTGGGCTCAGGGCCCTGTGGGCGCACACACAGGGCCTTATTCTCCCTCCTCTGGGAGAGGCAGGAACATGGGGTCCTGAGCTGGGGGGCAGCTCTGTACCTGGGGCTCCCTGGAGGCGACCACCCTGTGAGACCCAGGCTCATGGCCCTGTTCCCTGCAGACCCCCGCTGCCGCGTCCAGCCTACCCTTCACAGTTCCCGTGTACACCCGGAAGTTCCCAGACCAGGTGAGCCATGGTGGGGCCAGCAGACAGGCCTTCTAGAGGACGCCAAGTGGGTCTGGGGAGGCGGAGGGCCGGGGGCTGAACTTCGTGGGTCCGGGACCCCAGGGTAGCTGCTGGCTTGGAAGGCTGATCATCTGGGCCCAGGAGGACATTGAACCCTCGGGCGAGTCCTGACTGCCCCTCCCTCCCGCCAGCTCCGACCAGCTCCTCCTGCCAAGCCCCGACCAGCTCCTCCTGCCAAGCCCCGACCAGCTCCTCCTGCCAAGCCCCGCGCAGAGCTGAAGCCCAAGCAGGTGAGACCAACCCCCGCTCCCCAGCTGTACCTGTGCCTTTCCTCCGCCACAGGGCCCCTCTTGGGCCAGACCCCTGGCTGACCCCACAACCTGAGCCCCACAAGACAAGGGAGTGAAGGGGGCTGAGGGGTCTCGGGGGGCTCAGGGGAGCTCTTGGGGCTGAGGGGGCCTCTGTGGGGTGAGGGGGGCTCTGGGGGCTGGGAAGCCTCTAGGGGGTGAGGAGGTGTCAGGGGGCTCCAATGTAGCCCCCCTTTGATGTGAAGCTTTAGAGGTTCTGGAGAGATCCCTCCCACATATGAGTCACTGGAGCCTGTTGAGTCACAGCTCAACTTGCAGGCGCCCCTGCAGTGTGGGGTCCCGTTCCCCAGCAGAGCTCCCATCTTTGGGGTCACCTGGGAGTCCCTTCCAGCCAATGCTGAGGTCTGGCCCTGGCTGGTCTCCTCCAGTGCTGGGAGCCCCCTGGGCCCTGCTGAGAGGCCCGCGCGCTGCCCCTGAGGCCCTGGACAGACCTTCTTTGCCTCCCGGCAGGCGGCTGACCCAGCTGCTTCTGGAGAACTGGGGGTGGCAGGAAGGGGCGTGGCAGCACGAGGCAGTGAAACAGGTTGGCCCCCCTCCTGGCACCCTGTGGGGGATCACTGTGTCACCAGGGATGTTGACTCATCATTTGGTTGCGGTGGTGCCGGCGGTTTCTCTGCTGTAAAGTCCCCGTCTTCCCTGTGTAGTTATCGTCTGGGAGGGACTTTGAGATGCTAATCTGATTAGTTCTTGAACTATGACCCGCAGTGTCTGCAGCCGCTGGGGGCTTCTTGCCTGCAACAAACATTACTGCAGGGTTTGCTTAATAGAGATTCTCTATCTCTCTTTCCTTTTTAACTTTTATTTTGAACAAATTTTAATCTTATGACAATTTGCAAAAATAGTCGTTTTGACAGGCCAAACGGGGTCAGGGTGGGCAGAGAGGTTTCCGGCCAAGGATGTGGTGATAGCTAGGCAAAGGCTACAAGGGAATTGTGCTGGCCTGAGGTCCTGACTGCTCAGTAGGATCCTTCTAAGGTACTGAAAACTACAAGTGCTGCCCCACCCAGGCGTCCCAGGGTGCAGGACGGTGCGGCCAGGCAGCACCAGGGCTCTGCGGGCGGCTTTCCTCCTCCACCCCAGGTCCCCACTGCCCTGGGAAAGCCAAAATGGAAATTTTACTAGTTCATTCTTGGCTTTTAACTTCCAAAGACCCACATTCTGGCTTTAAGAGCTTTTCATGGGTATGGGGGGAGGGGGACCCTGAGGGAGAGAGCAAGGTGATGAGACAGGTTGGGGCCGATCCCGGAACTGGGGGCTCTGCCGCATTTGAGTCTCATTCTGCCTGCGGTGGCAGCCATGGGTGTGTGTTTGGGGTGGTGTTTGGGGGACTCTTCTGTAGAGAGCTCAGCAAAGAGAAACCTGCAGGCTGGTCTGGAGCAGAGCAGAGCACTATTACTGCACAAAATTGGGGTTCTCTTGCCCGATGTGCATTTAAAAAACCAATTAATTATGGCATCTTTGGGAAAAGAAAACAGCTTTATTCTGAGAGATCAATCTGCAGGGAGACAAGGGGGTGTGTGCTCTCAGCTCTGTCTCCCTGGTCCAGGGCTGGGGGCACAATTTATGGGATGACGGGGAGGCGGTCTGAAGTGTGGAGATAGATGATTGGAGGTGAGGAGAAGTGAGGTAGTTGCTGATCTGCACAAGTGTAGTCAAGCTTCGTGCCTCTTCATATGATGCATGTTCACAAAATGGCGACATTACCATGATCTGAGCGTGGAGTTTTTGGCTTCTTGACATCAAAAAGGTTACTTATTGAGCATTTGCACAGGCCCAGTTGATGGGCTTGTGGTCTCACTCGGCCTAAACTGGACAAGGGGTCTCAGTTCCTGAAAGACCACTCTTAATTACTCTGTTGATAAGATGGGGTCAGTTGAACTGGTCCTGGAGGGTCTGCGGTGACAGCACCTGGGAGCTTTGCTAGAAGGTGCTGAGGAAGGTGGTGTCTGGCATGGCCTGGACCAGTTAGGTTGTCCACTGTCAGCTATGTCTGCCTCTTCCCGGGTTGTCAAGCCAACCTCCACGTCCCCAATGCCACCAGTCAAGCCTGGGCCTGGAGGGGCCAACCCTGGACCCATTCAGGTAAGTCCCTCACACAGAGGGCACAGGGCAGCAGAGTGATCTGTCTTCCCCCATAGGCTGACTGGCTCTGCCCAGAGAGGTTGAATGTCTGCTGTATACTGTCAGCACTTTTCAGTGATTGCTGGCTCTGCTGGCGGTTACTTTGTCCTTTTCTCCTGCCAGTGTAAGTGAGAAAATCATTTTTTAGTGTTAGCTGTTGACATTGTGACTGTCACTGCCGGCTATCACTGTGCAGGGCCACTGTACTGTTCAATGAACTGGGAATCCACATTTTAAGAAATGTAAAAGGAAATAGATTCAGTTGTGCTCTTTGTAGCAGATGCTTTTTAACATCAGTTCTTTTTTCCTCCTCCCAGGGAGTTGTTGGCTCAAAGGTTGCTCTGAAACCCACAGTCCAGAGGAGGTGATGGAGCTCAGCACGCCCTGGCTGGCAATCTGCGCCCGTCTGGAAGTTGCCTATTGTTCATGCTGAAGGAGCTGTGTGAGCCTCGCATCCAGCAGATGCAGCCAATTGGCCCCAGCCCTGGGTGCCCCTCCTCAAGGGGCTGGGTCCAGCGCAAGAAGTCTTAACAGAAGAGCCAACTCCTCATGGCCAAGGTCGCTGGTCACAGCCCAGACTCACAGTCCTGGGCTGAGGACTCTCAGTCTGCGTTGTTCCTGACCTCAGGAATGTACCACCTGAGAGGCTCAGTTATTACCTCCTCAGCCACTTTGGCCACGCTTAGCTCCACGGGTCAGCGGCATGGCTGCTGTGCCATGTGCCTGCAGGTCTGGACGGCCACTGCTGCCTCTTCTGGTTCTCCGGAAACCTCAGGTGCACATTCTGCACGGCTGAAAACTTAAATCAAAATTTTGTATTTTATGATTAAATTATTAATCAAGTTCTAAATGACGGGAGACTTTTTTTAGATCAATGGAAAATGGTGCATGTGAAACAACAGAATTCAATTTATAAGTTTTAAGGGTCCAGGGGCCGGCCCGGTGGCGCAACGGTTAAGTTTGCACGTTCTGCTTCTGCGGCCCGGGGTTCGCTGGTTTGGAACCCAGGTGTGGACGTGGCACCGCTTGACAAGCCATGCTGTGGCAGGTGTCCCACATATAAAGCAGAGGAAGATGGACACGGATGTTAGCTCACAGCCAGTCTTCCTCAGCAAAAAGAGGAGGATTGGCAGCAGATGTTAGCTCAGGGCTAATCTTCCTCAAAAAAAAAAAAAATTTGAGGGTCCAATGCTTGTTAAAATAAAATGTATATTGTAAATGGACAGTGTCAAACTTTTTACCTTTTCTCCCTAGACTTTGTCATAAGCCTCTTATATTACACAGTCCCAACGCACAATGTGGACTGCCTGCCGACCATAGGCTCCGCGCGGGGGCATCTCAGCCCCGCCTCTGGCCCCCACCACCTGCCCGGCGCCCCGCCCCTTCCGGCCCCGCCCTCGGTCTCCTGGCAACGGCCCCACCTCCTGCCTATGCCCCGCCCCTTCCGGCCCCGCCGCCCGGCGCCCTCCGCGGCCTCTAAGCCTGGCTGCACGGGTTCCCGCTCAGCCGCCCCAAGCGCCACCTGGCCCGGGACTTCAGCGACGGCGGTGAGGGCGAGCTGCCGCGCGGGGGTCCTCGCGGGCGGGCGGCCCGGGGGGCAGCGCCGCGGGCCGTCGTCAGCTGGGCCGGCGCGCCCCCCGCTCGCAGGGAGTGGCCCACGGTCGCCGCTCCCGGCAGAGCGCCCCGAGCGGGGACCCCGGAGCAGGGCAGGGGCTTGACGGACCGGCGGGATGGGGGAAACTGTGGGGCCAAGATACTGGCAGCGGCGGCTCCAGGAGGGGGGACGTGGGTCCAGCTCTCACAGCCCTCCTGCTGCGGCACCACACCCCGGGGACTCCCCCAGGACTCAGAGGCCACGGGACAGTGACACGTGAGGACACAGGGATTCTGAGCCGGCCAGCCAGGCTCACCTTGCGCACCCTCACCCCCAGTGATGCTAGCGGAGATTGTGAAGCACTTCTACCCCCGGCTCGTGGACCTGCACAACTACATCCCCACGTGCAACACGGACCAGAAGCTCAGCAACTGGAGCGTTCTCAGCAGGCAGGGCGGGTGGGCTGGCAGGCGGCAGGACTGCTGCGCTCAGGCCAGCACAGGCTTTCTGGCTCCCTGCCTTTCCTGGTTGGACTCCCCACTCTTCATTCTCTAAGGCCCTCCCTCCAAGGCAGGCTGGGCGGGCAGCCTCCCCCTACACCCCTCGCCTCTGAGACAAGTTCTCAGGCTGTTTTCTTGCTGTGGGTTTCCCTGACAGCCTTGTCAGTGTTGTGTTCCTGTCCACCAGAATCTCACCATCAACCTGGGGTTCCTGGGGGCTCCTCACCAAGAGGACAGCACTGGTCAGCTTGAGACCTGCTCACCAGGGCATCAGTCCTGCCTTCTGACTGTGTCCAGCCCATGCTGACCACACTTCTCACTCACCAGTAATTCTGGGTGCCAGGCTCTGTTCCAGGCACAGCAGACACGGCAGTGAACAGGCCCCTGCCCTCGCGGAGCTGAGAGTTTAGTGGGAAGACAGATAAAGAGGGAGAAGTAACCAGTGTCAGGTGTAATGAGTGATATGAATTGAAGGACGAGGCTGGGTCCCTGAGGAAGTGAAAGTGAGGAGAATGAGATGGGGGCAACCTGCAGGTGCGACGGAGGCTGCAGTGGGGAGCAGGGTGCAGAGTCCCCGAGTCCTCGCGGGGGAGCTGAGGAGTTGAAGTTGGGTGGGGAGGGGAGCTCAGAGCTGCCAATGGTCTCTGGAGGCCAAGCCAAGGACCCAGCTCCTCGCCTGGGGGCACGAGAGCCACTGCAGGGTTGAGGCCTGGGCAGGCTCTGATAGGACTTATTTCAGTGGGCTGTGAGGGGAGAGGAGACTTCGGGGAGGTGAAGGCAGGGAGAGACAGCCTCCAGGGGCAAGAGGGTGGCAGCTGCAGGCAGGCGTCGGCTGTAATGGTGGTTAAGTCAGATTCTGAGCCCTTGGGAGGTGAAGCAGCAGGACTTCCTCAAAGAGCAAAGGGTGACAGGCAGGAAGGTGAGTCCTACCCCAGAGAGTCCCTGAGACTTGAAGGGGCCCAGTCCTAGCCTCTGCCCTGGAAGGAAAGCAAGCCCTCCGCCTGCCTTCAGCGCACACTGCTCTGAGGCTGCCACCTGCTTCCTTTGCAGGAAAGTTTTTCACAAGTTGCGTTTGTGTATCTCCGAGGTGGATATCCAAAAGGTGGTGGCCAACACACCCGGGGCCATCGAGCCCATCTTGTGTGCACTGAGGGAAAAGGTGGAGGACCGCACTGCTCACGAGGACCCACCCGGCGCAGACGTACATATCAGTGCCATCTTACGGTTTGAACCTGCTGTGTCTGTCTCGCTTGGACATGGTCCCATTAGCTGCCAATGAGCCAGCAAAACAGGAAATCAGTGGTGGTGAAGCCCCTGCTCCCACGGCTCTGGGGTCCAGACTGCAGTGAAGCCCGTGGTGGTACTGCTGATGGGGTCAGCCCTCAGACCCTCCCAGCCTTACCCGCCTGCCTCTAGGGAGTGAAAACTCCCTTTTCAGGGGCCAGCCCGGTGGTCTAGTGATTAAGTTTGCCTGCTCCACTTCAGTGGCCTGGGGTTCGCGGGTTCAGATCCTAGGCACAAACCTACACACCACTCATCAAGCCATGCTGTGGCAGCATCCCACATACAAAATACAGGAAGATGGGCACATATGTTAGCTCAGCGAAAATCTTCCTCGCCAAAAAAATTAAAATAAAAAACTCCCTTTTCAGTACCACTCACTCCAAGGCCAGCCCAGGCCATGCCCTCGCCCCTCCTCCAGTTTGTCCCCTGACCTCTCCCCCAGTCTGTGACTGGAAAACTCAGGGAGGGGAGTTGGTAACGAGGATGGTGTCAGCCCCTTGGCCACATCCACTGTACAACCTCTGAAATCTTTGCAGGACCCAGGAGCCTCCAGTGCGCATGCTGACGGGCCATGGGTGGGGCTCACCACCCACACGCATGCTGGTAGTATCCAAAGCCCTGACTGGGGAAACTGAGGCCCTCAGAGCCCCTCTGGGCCTCCCGTGAGGGTAGCCCCTTAGAGACAAGGTGTGTGGCACTCGCGTTCACACACCTGCAGGGGAGGGCAGGTGTGCTCAGTTGCACACAGGGCCCAGTGGGCCTCCAGGAGGGCAGTTCCTCGCTCCAAGGGGACCACAGGGGAAGCCCTGGCCCCCTCACCTCCCAGGCACAGCCCCCCAGGTGGAGAGCCTGCAGCCCCTGTCCATAGGCCACGCAGAGCGGCCGTTGCTCAATGGACACATGTCTAAACAGGGAGCCATTCACAGGCCTCAGGGCTGCGTCACGGACGGTGTTAGGCCAGGCCCGTGCCGTGTGGCATGTCTGTGGGCTCAGCCCGTCGCCCGCAGCTCTGTGCTGCTGCCAGTCGGGCTCCTCTCCGAGGCGCAGGCCCTGAGCTAGTGTGTCCACTCTTCTCGCAGGCCTACCAAGCCCCTCAGCGCCGTCTGGCGTGAAGACTCTTTGGAGTCAGATGGCCAGAGGTGCATGCAAAAGGTGGGCCCCTGTCTCTCGAGCTGTCTGCCGTCCCACCTCCTCTCTGCCTGCCTGCTGGGTTGAAGGCCAGTGTTTGCCTTTCAGTCAGGACCCAGCTGGAGGGCCCTGGGAACACGCAGACCCCAGGGTGCAGCAGCTGCTGGAGGAGAAGGAGCAGGCTCTGGCTCTCCTGCAGGAGTCAGTCAAGGTAGGCAGTGGGCCCCTCAATGCCCAGACACCCTTGGGAAGCAGAGGCCCTGGTGGGAAGCGTTCTGGGGAGGTGCTGCATCTCTTCTGGCAGCTCGGACCCAGCCTGGGTATGGTGTGAGGGGGCAGGCAGAGTGCCTGACCAGGGTTAACCCACATTTAGTTCGATTATTCAGAAAACAATTTAATTATGGAATATTCCACACATCCCCAGGAGCAGGGAGAACAGTATAGTGGACCCCCACCCCCTCCCATGACCTCACCACCGGGCCTCACCAGTTGCCAAACCCTCTGTCACGTGCCAGAGGCTGCAGGCAGTCACAGGCATCACCACCCAGAGGTGCTGGACAGCAGGCCCAGAGGCCATAGGAGCCAGGCAGGGAGCAGAAGACACTCCCCGAAAATCCACGCCTGGTTCTGCAGTGCACGCCTGGTTCTGCTGTGCACGCCTGTCCCTCTGCTCCACCAAGGGTCTTCCCTGTTCCTGGGCTCAGGAAGTGCTCAGCTCCCTCTCTGCCATAGAGAGTGACCACTACATGCCCTCTCCCCTGCCCAGTGGGAGCACAGGTGGCAGCTTCCGCCCCGAGACAGTGGGGGTGCAGCTGCAACAGCCAGGCTTCAGGGTCAAAGGGGCTGTTGGGAATTGTGATGACCGCACAGTTCCCGAGCGGGTGCCTGGATCTTGACAAGCTATTTTCTTGACGAAGCAGGAAAGTGATATCATCATGTGGTTTGCGTTTGCTGAACGACAGCAGAGAGGAAGAGAGAGGAGAGATGAGGCTGCTGTCTCAGCAAGGTCACTGGTGGCCCTCGTGGCCACGCCTGGTCTGGTCCTGGTGCTAACAAAGTGAATCCTAACTACTTTATTTTACAAAACCCCGAGGGGAAAATAGTTTCATCTGCCATTTAAAATGGTGACACATTGAGTGCTGTTCCTGTCATTGTCACTGGTGTGAGGTACTCCACATGGGATGAAATAGACACCCGGGGACCATGGTTTTGCCTCAGTGGAGCAGCGGGTGTGCAGGGGCAGGAGCCTTCTGTGTCGGCCAAAATAGGAAGTCCATCACGGTGGACAGCGCTCACTCAGTGCGAGGCTCGGACACCCCTGCCCTTTGTGGCTTGTCGGTGGGGAGGGGTGTGGCCGGGATGTGGTAGTATGAATGAGCACCTGAGTGGCATGCTGAGTCACGGAGGGGGTCCGTCTGCTGAGCGCTCACACCCTGCCTCGGCCAGCTGGAGCTGTCTGTCCTTAGCTGGGCTGTGGGGAGTCACACTGTTGCCTTCACTTTGGACATGGTGTTTGGGGGCAGACGAGCTTTTTCAAATCCAGCTATTCCACTTTTCTCGCCTATTCAAGCGTGCCTGGGTCTGTGCTTCCAGTGAGGGGAGGTTTGTGACACGGCCGTCCCTCACAGAGGGGGCCCGGAGGGGCACAGCAGCAGCCACGTCCAAGGCAGGACCGTCTGAGGGAGGGCGTGGAGCTGGGCGACTCCTTCTGCACCATCGTTCTTCGTGAGAACGTCTTCTTGGTCTGAACTTTGAGAAGTAAACGTTGTACATAGTATCCAACTGCCGTGCATGCCTGCAGTGCTCCGGGTGCCTGCCGGGGGACCCAGCTGGGCCCTCCCAGGCTGCAGGGGACAGGCTGTGAGGTTCCAGTAGGTTTCGTAGCTCTGGCTGGGCGGAACCCAGGAGGAGGCAGGGAGGGTTGGGGGAGGAAAGCCAGTCCCTCCCATGACCTACCAACTGCACCCCCTCCCTCTCGTGTCCCGCCCTCCCTGAGTCTGCTCCTGCTGCCCAGAACCCCTGACCCCATCATCACCCTGGTCCCTCAAGCTCATTTCCAAAAGGACCTTTCCTGTGGGGCCCCACACCTGTCTCCCTCCAGGGTGACTCACTCAAGGGTCTGACCACTGGCCAGGTGGCCTTGCAGTGGGGCTGGCTAGACGCTCAGCCCAGGGGCTGAAACTGCCTGGCTCTGGCAGATGGACAGGGCATCCTTGGTTGTGCCTGATGTCTTTCAGACATGTGTGTTTTCCTGAAGATTTTGCAGATGAAGGTGGTCAGGTTGGAGCAGCTGGTAAAGCTGAAGGACCAGTGGATTGGAGTGCTGTTGAGACCCAGGGACAAGCCCCAGTGACAGGCCACAGAGAAGGCTCCTCCCAGAGGGCTCCTGGGGGATTCGAAGGAACGCTCCCTCCCCAAGTCGACTAGACCCTGAACTTGAACCCACATGGGACTCCCCAGACCAGGGCTCTTCCAGATGTGGCCGTCCGCGGTCCAGTAGGCTCAGAGCCGGGATGTCTGTGTACAAAGCCCTCTGGAGCCCTCAGCATGTGGATATTTGCAAGTCTGGAGCCCAGGGCCCCTCAGGCTGCACGTCCCAGGTTCCTGGGGTGTCGCCCAAGGTTCTTGCCTCCGGAGCCTGGTTTGGGCATGAAGACTTAGCTCTGGTTCCCTTGAGCCCCGAGATGTCTTGTCATCAGCATGAACAAGGAAACACATCTGTGAACACAGAAAGTGTAGTCTGCGAGTGTAGCGTTCCTCCTGGTGTCCGAGGGCCCCAGGCTGGCTGCCAGCATCGTGCGTCTGCCACCCTGAAGTCGTGCGGAGGATTCTGTAGAAACAGCTCACTGGGAGGTTGCGTCCCCCTAGTCTGTCCACTTTCTGTGCTGAAGGGAGCCCCTGAAGATGGGGAGGCTGTGTGCGTGCTGGCTACCATCCCTGGGTGGTTCTGGGAGCCTCGCAGCTGTCCCCCGTGATGGACTGGTCACTCCGCTTTGCTCGGGAGAGTTGGGGTCAGGGTGGAGCTGGGCCTTGATCCAGTGTGGCTGCAGCCTCCTCACCACGGATGGTCCCCACCCAGCCCACACGGGGTACGTGGCCTTGGGATGGGGACTTCAGGGTGCCTTGATGTGGCCAGGGTGCCCCAGATGGTGAGGTTGGCTGGAGGGGACAGGCGAGGGGTGTGTTCTGCTGGCTTCTGTGTCCTAGCATCCAGCCTGCCTTGCTTTTGCACCCAGAGTGGTGGGCTGGGAACAGCCCAGACTTTTATTCTCCTCCTCCACCTGCTGCCCACCCCCAGGCTCCTGGGCCAAGAGCCTGGCCCCCTACAGGGTCTCAGGAAGCAGTGTCTCCTCCAGCCCTGAGTCAGGGCCCGCAACACAGGTCAGGGCTGCGAGACTCAGAGGGCAGGTCCGAGGCCCTCCTTGAGAGTTGGGTTTTAAGCTCCATAGGAGCATGACTGAGGCAGATTTGCTCCCTGAGCCAGGAAGCATGTTGAGACTCATGGGTTAGGAAGGCCCCCTGATGGTGATAGCCAGCTTAGCCCGTGCCCAGGCACCCAGTGGGTAGGGGCTGCATCCAGGAGGGAGCTGTTCCCAGGAGGGGAGCCCTCAGTTGCCTTCTGGGTGGGCTGGGCGGGGCTGTCTCAGAGGTCTCCCCTCTGCACAGCTGCCCCTGCAGAACGAGGAGCCGCAGGATCTGCGAGGGGTCCAGGCCTCGGTGGGGGCGTCCAGGCCCTGTCGGCTGTGGGAATCTGGGCTACATGCAGCACCTGCTGGTTCCTCGTGTCAAGAGCGGAAAGATCCTCCCAGAGACAACACGGCCCAGAGCTCACCTCAGCTTGGCAGCTGAGGGAATTACAGGAAAACCTGGCGGAGGGTCCAGCCCAGAGCCTGAGGCTGCTTCAGACCCTATACCTGGCTGCCTGCCGCCAGGCTCCACAAGCCAGGATGGGTGGCTACCACCGCTGCCTTGGTGGTACAGCAAGGGGCTGCTGCTCTGCTCCAGGGCCCAGACACATGTGAACACATGTGTATACGTGTGAGGCTGGTTGGTCCCTCGTTAAAGTAGAAGGCCACTGTGTGAGTGTGCGTGTGTGTGCTCATGTCCCTGTGGGTGCGGGCACACCTGTGTGCTTGCCAGTGAAGTTGGCCCTGGAGGTGGCCCCGAGGGCTGGGCTTTGGGGTGGAGATGAAGAATGGAGCTTGGGGAACGTGGCCCCAGTGACGGTGCTGCTCGTGCAGTGACCCGCTCCCTGCAGCGACCTGGGAGCAGGTGCAAGCAGCAGGGGCCTGAAGGCAGCTGAGGAGCGCCACACCCAAACACCCCAAACGCAGGCCCCAAGCCCACAGTGGCCTCTGCGGGGTCCCAACCAGGGCCCCCACCCCTGCTCCACTCCAGCTTCTGGGGGCTCAGCCCGGGGCTGGGGGTAGGAACGAGGAGGGCAGTGGGGGCAGGCCTGGGGCTGACCAGAGGCCAGAGGGCATGGGACAGGGAAGGCACAGCTTGACTCTGTGCCACCAACAGGGGCAGGAGCAAAGAGGAACAGCCCAGGGTGGGGCTGGTGTGTCCCCAGGGCAGGACACAGCAGGCCAGCTCTTGGGGCCCCTGATCCAGGGGCCGTGGCTGCCGTCCAGCCCACCCCGGCCCCTCAAGGGATGGCCCCACTCAGACAGTGGACCTGGTGGGCAGGTTGGCGGGCAGTGGGTTCTGTGTCCTGCTGGGCTCTGGGCAGAGCCAACTTAGGCCTGTGACTCGGGGAAGTAGGAAGCAGGACCTGGAGGCCGGCCCGCACCGCTTGGGCTGTTTTGGGTCCTGGGCCACTGGTGTGGGAAGAGCCTCCCCAGGTCTGTGGGAGCGGAAGGGGGCTGCTTCTCCCAGCCTTGCCCTCGGCTGGCAGAGACCCCAAGGCTGGCACCTCAATGAGGGCTCCACTGGGGCCTGCCTCTGGCCTGGCAACTCCCAGGCCCTCTGGGCCCCTCTGGCCACGACCTTGGGCAGCCATGACGTCAGAGGACTCCCGAGCCCAGCCCACATCTCTGTGGGGTAGAGGGCTGACAGCCAAGCCAGGGTGCTGTCCAGGGTACTCCATGTAGGCCTGCTGCCCAGCGCCCCCACCTCCCCACCCCACCCCCCTGCCCTGCAGAGAGCGTATCACCTGTGCCCCCTCAGGCACTCATGGCCTGCGTCTTGGGGCCCCACTCGGACGAGGCTGGCTGGGGGTGCAGGTGCTGGAGGGGCTGTGTGTGCCACAGGCTGCAGGGTTGGGGGTCTCCCTCAGGCATGTACAAAGCTGATGACAAGTGAATGGTGGGGGTGCTACTGTGAGTCCCCCACCCCACCTCCATTTCCCTGGGTCCCTGGGGCAACCTCACCATCAGGCCAGCACAATCTCAGGCCCAAGATGCTTCTGGATCCTTCTCTGAGGAGGCAGGAAGGATGCCCCCTACAGCCCCATGAGCATTCTCTGAGCACTCTCGTCCCAGTTCTAGTACCGTGGGCTGCGGGCACTCCCCTGGGGACCGCCTGACCTTGGGCTCTTGGGGTGCTGGTGCTCCAGGGTCCCTGGGAGCACTCACTATCTACAGGTTTCTGGGCTGGATTAAAGGGGTCCTCAGAGGGTCTGGGGTCCGGGCCAAGGGTCCAACACCTCCCATGTCCACCACGGAGGCTCCTGCAGACGGTTAAAAAGGTGGAAGTTGCGTTTCTCCTGCACACTGGGGGAGGGGGGTGGGGGGGGGTTGGGCCTGGGTCTCCAACCCCTCCTGCCCACTGGGGTGGAGATGAAGTGGCTGTCTCACCGCAGTGGGCACGCAGTTGCTCAAGGGGATATCCTGTTTCAGCCGCAGTCTTAAGGAGCAGCGTCACATCCTGGCCATGACTCCTTGGTGAGGAAGCAGCCATGAAACAGGCACTGAGTTTAACGTCACTTGCGAGTCACGCTGGTGGGCTCCGTTGCCCATGTGACTGTGGAAAGAATCCAGCCTCAGGGTTAAATCTGGGACAAAGTCAGAAGCCAGGCCAGTTCCGCCCTGCAGCACACAGGTGCTGCCCTCCCACCGCAGCTCTGTCTTCACTTCACACTGGGGGCGGAGCAGGGGGCTTAAGACGGGTCTGAGTGCAAACCTACAGAAACTCCAGTGTCTTCTTGTCATGAGCAGATTCCCGTCTCTACCATGTCAAGGCTCTTCCTTGGAAAGAAAGCCAGAAAAGTCCGACAGGCTCTGGAAGAGCCTGAGGCAGCCTGCTGATCCACTCATGTCACACGCTCTGTCATCCCCACACAGCCCTCCACTCGGACCCACACAGCTGCTGGGTCCAATTAACCCTCCAGTTTTAGAGACTTTCTCCAACCATAAACCACGTAGAGCAGGAACAACCGCCGGAGAGTTACTGAGAAGTTTAAAGGGAACTGGGGGCCGGCCCCTCCCCAGTCCAGAAAGCAGATGGGAGTGCTGGTGCAGCTCTCCAGCCACGAGGCGGGTGCACGGGTGCACAGCCTATCACCCGGCAGATCTTTTCGCATACGTTAAATATTTCATAATTTAACAAACTTCTTAGGGGGAAAACCTTAGGACGCACAGAGACGTGAATGTCAACTGGTGATTAGAAAGCCACTGTGCCCTGTGAGCCGTGCCGGGCAGCATGTCACCACACCCACACTGCGCTGACCAGCTTCTCCTCCGACCAGCTGCCCGCTCAGCATCGCGAGATCCAGATAGAGCCTGGGCTTCTCAAACCCACTTCTTCAATTGTAAAATGGGAAGCAGGGTGCCCACGGGGTGAGACTGGCCCAAGGGTGACTCCTTGTGGCCAGTGTGGCAATCATGCCCTCCCGGCCCTTCCTTAGGCCTTGGCAGTGCGCTGTGATTCAGGTCTGCAAACACCTGGGTTTGGGGCTTTGATGCCCTGGCCTTCCTTGTCACTGTCCTGTCCGGAAAGGACTGGAAGTTCCCACTTCAGCCAGAAATCTGCAAGGCACCGTGACCTGAAGGGCAGTGGTGGAGGGCCCCAGTGTGGTCAGAGATAATCTCAGGATACCAGCTCGACCTCCAACCCGTGGGGCGCCCTGACCCATGGCCCACCCGACGGCCCCACGGGTCCCCCTCCCTGGCTCATGATTTTGCAGATTTTCCTGAATTTTGGCTTTCCCTTCCCAGATGTGTTTTTGAGTAAGTGAGACAGAGGCCAAGGAGGCTCTGGCTCTGTCCAAGCCGGACACGGTGCTGCTGTGGACACGCCTCGGGGGGCGCCAGGCTGAGGCCCGCCCAGGTCTCCCACGGGCCCCACGGGCTGGAAAGTCACTTCAAACAGGCCTCGTGCTGCCAGGAGCAGCAACGTGCAAGCAGGAGCCACAACCCTCTCCCTGTGGCTCCGGAGCTCGGAAAACGAGAGGACAGCGTCCCCACACTTGCGGCGCGCCCTCCAGTGGCAGAGGGGGTAAAGAGCAAGATGGATAAGTGAAGCGTGCGCATGGTAGGGAGTGCAGAGTGCCAGCTAGAAATTGAGCTGGGAAGAAGGAAATGAAAAGCCTGACATTTAAGAGTGGGTGTTCAAGGGAGCCCACCACAACTGACTTATTTTTTTTTTGAAAGATTTTTTTTTTTAAGATTTTTTTTCTTTTTTCTCCCCAAAGACCCCCGGTATATAGTTGTATATTCTTCATTGTGGGTCCTTCTAGTTGTGGCATGTGGGACGCTGCCTCAGTGTGGTTTGATGAGCAGTGCCAAGTCCGCGCCCAGGACTCGAACCAACGAATCACTGGGCCGCCTGCAGCAGAGCGCGTGAACTCGACCACTCGGCCACGGGGCCAGCCCCCACAACTGACTTTTGAGTAAAGACGTGGAGAAAACAAGGTGGCCGGTGGTTCAGACAGGGGCAGCGGGTGCAAAGGCCCTGGGGCAGAGAGCCAGGGGTCAGAGGGCTCACCACCCACAGCGTGTGGGCTAGTGGGTTGTGGTGGGGACTTTGGCTGAGAAAGGTGGGTGCTGTTGGAGGTGCTGAGCAGGCGAGAGGTCAGTGTTCTGGCAGGGTCATCGTGGCCACAGTCAGGGGATGCCTGGGTGGCAGGCAGGGAGATGCCTGGATAACCCGGTGGACCAGGACCAGGAAGGATCAGTGAGAAGTCGTCGGGTGCTGGGTGCACTGTGAAGGTAGAGCCAGCGGGGTTGGTATTAAGGACACACAAACGTCCTCAGCATGGCTGATGCGGCACATTTAGAATTCCAGGAAACAGGGAAAGTGGATGCTTTTGCCAACAAGTCACAAAGCCCTCCTCGGGCAGAATAAAACCCTGAGATCTGGGCTACCCGGGCTTTGTACGCGGTGAGCTGTGAGGCTGTCTCTGAGCCGGAAGGGGGTGCCATGGTGCTTGGCGTGTCTTGCACGTGTTAAAGATCTCATAACACTAAAAAATTTTGTGGGAAAAAATACTGTGGGATGCACAAAAGGTGTAAAAATGTGAACTGACGATTGGAAACTCGTTGCTGAACAATCTGCTTTCGTAAAACTTTGAAGATTTACTTAAAATGTAAAGCTCACTTAGATCAAAGCAGTAAATAACTCAAGTGGTGAAGCAGCTGAGCAGATGCATTGATTTCAGCTAGGCAGAGACAGCAGCAACAGCAGACACGGCGGACACAGCAGAGATGGCGGAGACAGCAGAGACAGCGTCGATGAGGGGGACGATGATGGCCGAGCAGGATGGAGCCCAAGAGCGTCCAGACAACGAGCTCCAGCCGGTACAGAGTCGTGTCCGGGGCTGCTGCACTGTGGGGTGCAGGACACTCAGCGCCCTCAGAGGTGGGGGCTTCAGCCCGTCTTGTGGCCCAGCAGCTCTTCCCCCTGTGGCTGCCAGGGCATCTCTGCATTAAACCCACCCCTGCCTGTGGACCGGCCTGGTGCTGCAGTCCCATCAGGCGAGCTGTGGGGAACCTCCTGCTGTGGGCGCCCAGAAAACACTGGTACCATCGTGGGAAGGGGGCTGCGGGCACGCACCACAGAGGTGGGTGACATGCCCTGAAAACAGGCGGGACAGAAAATCGGGATGATTAACAGCCATGGCCTTTGAGCGGCAGGGGTCCCTACTTTTCTGTGTGGTTCATAATTTCCATAATAGCGACATGATCTTCTATGAGTGGGAAATGGGAGCCATGGTTCTCTGGCCCTTGACTGAGGGACACGGCCCTGCTCTGCTCCCCACATGTCCTTGGAGTCTGTTCCAGGGGTGCCGGCACCTCTCAGAGACTCTGAAAAGGCCACAGTTGTTAAAAAGAAACTCCCTCAAAGATCCATCCAACGAAGTGGCCAAAGGTGGACCGATGACCTTTCGGCTATCCAGCATGCCCGGCTTCTCCCCACCAGGACAACGGAACCTGGTGACCAGGAGATGGTTGACGGGCTCCTGGGGTCGGAGCAGCCTTGGCCTCACCCAAGAGAGTATGGGGACCCCAGGCCCAGACCCCTCTGCCCTGCAAATGTTCTCAGGGGGGTCTTTGTCTCCTCCCCTCCCACACAGAGGAAGAGGCCTCATGGTGGGAGAGTGACACCTCTCCTCTGTGCCCCCTCCATCCCTCAAGCCGGGGCCAAGTAGTCACCTAGGCAGAGGGCAGGTCCCGGTCAAGGAGGGTGGGGCTGCACGGTTGGGGTGGGGCTGTGACACTCCTGGACCTCAGCCATGGGTGGTGCTGTACCAGCTTGCCCACCTGGTTGCTACAGGCAGCCCATGCAGGGTGGCTGTGGGTGTTGTGGGCCCGTGGGTGTTGAGCCTTCTCTGGGCTCCCAGAGGGAAGCCCACCCTTCCAGGGGGCCCCAGGAGAGACTGAGCGGGGGTAGGGGTGGCTGGTCCCACCTGAGAGACAGCCGCCATGCCCGCCTCCTGCTTGGTCCTGCGTGGCCTCAGAGGGTTCCGCCCCCAACCTCTGCCCCAAACTTTCCGACTCCCCCTGGCCCCTCTGCCCCCACATTCCCGGTGTCCCCAGCCAGGCCAGGCCCTGCCGTCCTTCACCGCGGCCTCCCTCCTCCTTCCTTCTGCCCGCGAGCCCCGTCTGCTGCCCGATGTGTGTCAACACTGCCCTGCAGGACGTGGAGGAGGAAGGAGAGGGCTCTGCTCACCCACATTTCCCCGCCCTGCGGCCTCTAAGCCCACCCTGCATGCCCTTCACCACCCCACCCCACAGGGCCCAGCTCTAGGTCCACGGCCCCAAACCCACAGGTGCACACATGTGTGTTCACAGAGTGCGTGTGCACACTCAGCCCGCAGGGCTCCCTCACTTGTTCCCTCCAGAGCCCTTCGGTCCTCTTCCCTGTGACTCAGCACTGCCTGGAGCAGGAGGGTCTGGGGACTCCCTCCTGTGCAGCCCTCAGCCCTAGCAGCCAGGACAGGTCACTCCCAGCCCAGCCCCTTCCCCAGATCCAGGGTCTCCTCACCTTCCCAGCCCCCACCCGGGTCAGGGCCTAAGGCCACGCGGCCCTTTTGCCAAGGGGCTTCCCAGGGAGGTGGTGCACCACGACCCCCACCGACCCAGCCAGGCCGGGCAGCTTCTCCATCAACCAGGAGAGTGGGAAGGGTCGCTGGCTCTGACCCTGGCTGGCCCTCATGCCTGGGAAGCCAGACTCACCCAGCTGATGTGGGCCCTAGTTTCCCCCTCAGCAAAGTGGGGGACTGGGGCCAGGGCCCCGTGGGCCTGCCTGGTGCTGGCAGGCGCAGGTGCTGGCTGTGCCCACTCCAGCATTCCCAACTCCTAGTTGACCCCCAGGCCTCTGCTGGGGGGCCTACAGTACCTGTGGGGATCCCGGGCCCTCGGGGCAGGGCCCTGAGCTGGGTCCTGAGGAAGGACCTCTCCCTGTGGGTCAGCCAGCGGAGAACCAGGGAGGCCATGAGCAGGGCTGTAGAGGCAGCGCTGCTGAGGTGGGAGGCCCAGAGGTGACAGGTCCCTCCCCAAGCCTGGGGCCTGGTCCTCTCAGTGGAAAAGAGACCCCCGGCCCCTGGGTCATGGACAGTAGAGACTGCTGGGACCAAGGCCTGAGCTGAGCCTGTTGTCTGGACCCAGGAGAGCCGGCAGGGGAGGGATAGGCCGAGTGTGTGCAAGCCCAGCAGCCCGGGCCCCCATGGGTTGGGCGTGGAACTGCCAGGTCAGCAGTCTGGACAGTGTGGCCACAGTTCTTCCGCAAGGTGGGGGTCCTGGAAAGGCCGAGGGGGCCCTGGGAAGGGCTGTCCGCCCTGTGGCCTTGGGGGCAGGGGAAAGTTCCCATGGCCAGGGAGCGCTCCTGATACGGCTGGGAGAAGAGAAAGAAAATATCAAGAGGCCACAATTATCTCCTGAGAGGGAGTCACCCAGATGCAGCCTTGAAGCCCTGACGCAGGGGCCGGGCCTGCCAGCCTCCCAGTCTCCCGCAGCCCAGGCTTAACTCTTTGCCTCCTCCTCCTCCATCTCCCGGGGACGCTGTGTCCATCCTCAGAGCCTATGGGCACAGGCCCCGCGGCCAACACACTGCACAGCCTGGCCTGGAGCACAGGTCTGAGGACCAGACCCCACGGGGACTTCCCATGGGTGCCAGGGCCACGGGGGTCTCTGCCGGTGGTCATGCTGGCTGTACACCGGCCAGCCCAGGCTGCCCGCTCCAGAAGCCCCAAGCCCAGGTGCCCAGGAGCACGGAGGCTCTCCTTCTTCGAAGCCCCCAGCTTCCCCGGGCTGGGTGAGGGCCAAGGCCCAGACCTGGTTTTCTGTCACCCCACCTCCTGGAGCCCACCTTCTCTCCATAAACAGGGTGCAAGGATGCCAGATTTAGCAAATAAGAATTCAGGATCCCCAGCTCAGTTCCAATTTCAACGTACAATGAATAATTTTTTGTTGTGAATATGGCTTACTCCTTGCTGAGTGGCGCTCCGGCGTGTGGACCCACCAGCTCATGGATTTTCATCCACTCCTGTGCGGGGGCCTTGGAGAGATTTCCAGGTGGAGGACACTCCTATTCTCATCTGTTTGGGGCAGACACCTGGGTGTTCAACCTCTCAGCTCCAAAGGGGTTGGCTGTTTTCAGCTCCTCCTTTGACAGATTGAGAAACTGAGCCTTGCAGAGGCAGCCTGCACCGCACAGCCATGGTGAGCCTCGATTCAGGCCTCAGACGCTTCTCTGTGGCTGCTGACCCTGCCTGGCCTGGCCCACCGGTGGAGAGTGCCAGTGTATAATCACCCGGGGACCGCAGTGACTGCAGGGGCCTGCGGGGCAGCAACCCAGGTCTCCGAGTCCCACAGACCAGTGGGCACCCTCTCTGGGAACAGGCCAGGGGAATCCACCAAGGGTTAACAGTCAGCTACCTTCCGGGGCCTGGGACCTGTAGCCTAAGCTGGGCAGACAGCTGTGGGAGGCCCCCCCCCCCCCCGCCCCCAGGAATGGGGCAGAGGCAGGGAGCGAGCAGACCTGAAGGCCACCCCTTATCGCTGTCAGCTCCGTGCCAAGACATCCTCCTTGGCCGACAAGGATACTTTCTGTCCCTTAGGTGCAGGGAGGGCCAGGCCCCTGTGCTTGCTGTTGCAGGGGCCACTCTTGGGGTCCACAGTGCCCAGGGTTTTGCTGGACCCAGCAGGGAGCCATGCCCCCGGTACAGGGCCCAGGACACGGGGCCTGGGCCTGCATGGATGCCAAGGGGCTGGTAAACGGGAATCCTTCCTGGGAGCAGGGGTCTGGCTGGAGCCCCCAGGGTTGGTGGAAAGGACCTCATCTAGCCCCCTGGAATCCAGCCTCTGTGTCTGCCCACTGGGGACCGTCCTCACCACTTGGGAGGGGGCTGTACCTGGTATGCCCCACTCTGCTCTGCTCCTGGAAAATCTGACCGGGGGTCCCCCGGACAGGCAGGAGGTGGGCTGTGTGGCCCAGTGTGCAGGGAGGGGCTGCCCTGGGGTTTGGGTTTCTCTGAAAACACTGAGGGGCCACACAGCAGCTCAGAGTGGGTGGGGATGCAGGGCGCACCTGTCACCCAGCGAGCAGCCCCAGCGTCCACCTGTTCAGAGCCCTCCTAACCTCTTCTCTCCCGGGCCGAAGCTACCTGAGTGCATTCCTTCGCCTCCCGTGTCTGTAAAATGAGTGTGCGTGGGGAGCTGAGACCCCGAGGGTCAGGGCTCTCTATGGGCCACAGCCAGGTAGGCTGGCTGGAATTGAAGCCGCCATTGAGCTCCTGGCCCCTCAGCTGCCTCTTCCCTCTGACGAGCTCCACATGACAGCCCAAGATGGCTCCTGGACACAGAAACTTCCGTGTCACCAACTGGCTTCCTGTGGCCTTCTGGGAGACAGAGACAGTGGATTGGGCCCCGCCCAGCTGACCTCACACCCAAGCCCCCCAGGCTCCAGCTGGTGGGGGACCGGCCACGCCCCCCCAAGGACAGGCCCCTTGGCTACTCCAACTTCAAGGGAAAGGTGGAGGCAGGGGAACAATGAGGTGACCAGCCGGTCCAGCGACACCCAGCAGTGCGACCCCGGCCAAGAGGGGCCGGGCTGGGATTACGTCCCCCAGGGTGGAGCCCTGGCTGTCCCTGCCTGTCATCATCTTCATACCTTCCTGGATTTTTAAGGTGCTTTATCACGAGCTGACACTGATTTTATAAACAGGAAAATAAGTTTACAGAGGCAGAGTGAAGAACTCGGCGGTGCTGTAGAACAGTGCAGGGCCTCTCCCCACCCTGCTGCCCCTGCCCCTCCCCATCTCTCTACCTCCCTTTCTGTCGGTCTCTCTGTTGCTGTCTCTCTCTGTGTCTCTCTCTGTCTCTGTCCATCTGCCTCCTGCCTCCTTCCTTCCTGCAGACTTGTGTAGCCCAAGGTCAAGGGCAACCCTGTGTTTCCCAGAAGCCGTGGAGGCAGCTTTGAGGGGGAGGGTGGAGGCGAGATGGAGCTCAGGACGGGAGTGGCCAGGATGGGGAGAGGCCCCCCGGGAGGTTTAGGGAGAACAGTGGCCAGAGGAGATGGTCCCGGAGCCACCACTCGAGTAGGGGCCTCACCCCTTGAGCACGCGTGTGTTAGTGTGAGCGAGTGTGTCCGTGTGAGCATGTGTGAGTGTGCCCCAGCTCCTGGAGG